ACGTATGCCGTGATATTTGCTAAACATCCCATGCAACTTAAGCTTTAGTTTCGTTCCAGATCGATAATGTTCTCTACTGCTCTTTCCAAGGTAAAGAGCACGAACTTATTAATATTTACAGGTACTGCTGAACGATTATCTCACGTCAGATGAAACAAGTGATGACCTAAGATGTGAAGCACTTAGAGGGTGAATTTCACTACCTGTAGTTGCCACAGTGGCTTCTGACATGAGTCAGAGGCAGCAACGCCATAAATTTCCTCTAGTAGAGTAACGTTTCACTGGGCGCGTGATTTTGAATCTTGCCGTTCATAGAGGATAATTTGCCTGTACTTCAGACGACAACCATCAATGAAAAGTGAGGTACTTTGCCATGTCATGGCATGATGGCAGAGTGGGTAAGAGGTCTGGCATGGAACTTAGGGAATATCGGGTTCGATTCCGATGGAGGGCAATGTTTGTCGAAACCGCGGATTTTATTGAGCAAGAAGTCTAGCACACGTTGCGTTAGACCAGAATTACTCATCGATAAACTCAGAGGCCAGAAGTCTCGAGCTCGAGTCCAGGTGAAGTCATTCACTTTGTTTCCTTCTGATGTTGATGAATAAGTTTCTCTGTGTGGAAAAGAAACAGGAGACTACACACTATGCTTGCCACTTAGCTGTTGTCGACGTTGCCTTTAAAACGTGAGATACTGTAAGTCCAAGATACTCCTGACTGATGACTCGAAAATGGAGATCATCACACCATATGAAGAGCGTCAAAAGTGGTTCCATCATGAAGGAATACCGACATTCTAACAGTTCCAAACTTTCCTTTCTATATCATTTTTGCATATATGACGTGAGAATTGTAGAAATTAATTAAGGAATTTTAGCGCGTAATGATTCAGCTGTTTAGGGAACAAAATTACGTAAAATTGTGATGGCTTTTCCAGTGTCAGATCTAAGCAATTTTGGACTAGACTTCCGTATAAAAGATTCAACTCTAACTAGCCGGTTATCGTACATCATAACCAAAATACATGTGAAACAATTTTCAATCATTTTAATAATACTTAGTCCTTCGTCTTTCTTAATGTAAGCCTTAGAAAGTTGGCGTAACTTTAGCCAGTGATTAAAAATGAAACCAATTTGGCAACTAAGTTAGTGAAATAGTTCAAAAAGTTTTTTACACGTCATTTGAATATACTGCAGAATTTTTTAATGTACAGTTACAAGAGGAACGAGAAAACATTGCCTATCTGGTCTTAGTGGGGTTACACGTTACGCTGTATCTGGAATTCTTGGGCGTACTAACAACTTATAATATTTATGCCGTATTTTGTATGAAGTAGCTGTTCCAGAAACATGATTTGTGGTGAGCGCGAGGTAGCTCTACTGGACAAGATGAGGTGAGATGCATTTGACACTGTAGTTACGTAAATACCGCAGGTCTTTCACCTGCTTATGATAAATGTACCGTACCAGGTAAACCGTATACCATATAAAATATCAAATACTCCATAGGCAGTTACGAACAAGCAGACAGTACATCGTTACGTTTGGTTTTGGAGAAGTTATGCCTGATAAAAAATTTTTAACAGAATGTGGAACATCTCACACTGATTTTATCCACTCCTGTAATATCGTTTCTCTATTCACACTAATTGTTTATTCTGTGCCTCGTATCTATTGATTTGCCATGAAATATAGATTTTATATCACAAAGTTCTCCAGAAGGCTTGCTCTTCTTCACATGACCTATAATTCTGACGTTTACCATAGGGCTTCAAAACAAATCGTACTAGTCGGAAAATTTTTTTCCAACCTGCTATATAATGTCCCTAGAAGATGGATTAAACCCGATTCAAAAGTCGAGATCTATGGTAAACGCAGTCATATCGGAGTAAACCGTTTGATGTCCTTTGTGATAAACAACTTTTCATGTACATGAAAAATTCAAGTAATATATATGAACCGCATATACACATTTTATATAAAATCAACATTCCTTCTCACTTTGGAGTGTGGTAACTCAAAAATACCGATTCAGCTTCCATTTTTTAAATATAACTGTGTCTGTAAGATTATTGTGTTATTTTAGATTTAACGTTTAGCTCGATTGACGTATAAAACCACTTAAAAGCATGGCATCGAGATTTTAATGCTAATTTTTAAAATGATGCTAGTTTGAATTTAATGTTAATTTTTAATAACATGATATTCCTCCAAGACCAGATTTCATGGCGCATAATACTGACCCTTACTCCTTGTTGCACAGTGGGCATTTCAGCGGATCACAAGCGCACCTACGCTCGTAGTTGCATCTGGCATCATTTTGTCAGTTAGAACCTCCTTCCGTTCATCAAGAACGTTGTTTCAGTTGTTGGTCCTCCTTACATGCTACAGAATAAGCATAGGTTAATTTTAAATTTTATTAGTATTTTTTCCTTCTACTGCACATGAAATAATTAGACTGTGTTTCAGTAGGCAAAATCGAAGTCCATGACAGCTCGGAAGATACCTTAGTGCTAAATAAATGCGACGAGATACAACGACGTTTTCTGTGCTTAGGTGTTTCAATAGTTTTCAAGGTCTACAGCCCAAACTCAAACGCCGTTGCCGGTCCCAAGCCCGAATGAAAAAGGAGGAGGGTTGGGGACCGCGGCGAGGTCTCCCGTAGAACTTGGCTACCTGTCCATCATGCTGTTGCAGTATTCGAACGTTATACCGGCTTGTCGTCGTCCGAGTTACCAGGAACGGGGTAGGTTGTTGGGGAACCGAGGCAGATTTCGTAAAGTCGACGGTCAGAACCTTCCAATGGCCTTCTGCAATCTGGGGCGTAGGAACATGACGAGCACTGCCGAAGATCGACAAGAAGACGACGAAGATATCAGTCACCCGTTCTTAACGTAGGAAACAGACAGAGCAGTGCCATTATAGCCCGTCAGATGAGGTTCGACGGGAACGATACCAACAGTAGGAGCTCACAGTTGGAAATTGGAACATCTCACTCAGAGCACTCAGAGGGAAACATTAGACGTTGGTTAATGAAGCCGTAAGGTACCGATTGGATATAGATGGATTGTTGTTAACGAAGTGCCAAGGCA